CGCGGGGCTGCGCCCGCCCCCCCCCTGCCTCTGCTCCTCTCACTCAAACCATGGAGCAACCCTCTGAAACAGACCTGTCAGACCCTTCCTCCAAAGACATGTCTGTACAGAAAAGACGCTTTAGCAAAAGATCCAAATCCTTCCTCCTCAGTACAACCTACTCTAGAAAGAGAGACTAACATAGGTAATGCACTCATCCAATGTAAGCTGTGGCAGAACAAAATTGGTAATGAGAGAAAGGACGTTGAGTCCATGAAGGCCATTGCAAGACCCTGGTTTCTTGAACCCTGCAGGACAGCAAAGCTTTTACAGTGACCTGATCCACACTGCATATTCCTACTTTACACATCTCATTGATGCAGTTTTACCAGTGATGCTACATCAGAGATTGTCTGGGTAGGCCATGGTTTGGCTTTTAAAATTCATGTCTTGTCAAGCCCAGGTTTGCTTAGCGTGGTGCCAGGAGGCCGTGTCCTACCCCCTCCTGCTGGTAAAGAGAAGGTTGACCCGAGCTGGGTACAAACCAGTCAGGGAAATAAGTCACTGGGGACTTCCAACACAGAAAAATTGCAGCTATTCACCAAACAGATCAGCTGAAGCACCCTTTGTGTTTATGCCTACTGGATCTGTCCTTCAGCCAGTATAAATCTGCCTAGTGCTACTGCCTTTCTGTAGTCTTTGCCAGCACACACCAGCTGATGACTTAATGCTAGCATCAATAATCTTTAGCACAAGTAAGGCCCCGAGAAATAAACAGTGCTGTAGAAAACTCCACACAACCAGTCCATCAACACCGATAATATTTCACACACAGTGGATGGCAAGGAGAGGCTGTTTACAGACTCACAGCAAGAGCCGTAGGGAAAAGAGCAGCCCAAGAGTGCGCAAAGCCCTTACTGCTGAATTCCTCCTGCAGTCGACAACAGGTACTGAGCAGCGTCTGCTTGAAGGAGGATGCCAGATTAGAAACCCAACTGCACAAACACCCTACATCGCATTTCTGTGCTGGTGCAATGTTGCTGACTGGTCCCCTTTGGCTCTAAATATGATGCTGTCAGTACTGAGAATATTTCTTAATCAGCACTGAAGAGTGGCTGCCAGGAAAGTAGAAGTGGCTGTCTCTCAGTCTTGCTTCTGCAGAAAGAGCAATTGTTTAAAGGGGGGGCTGTTTGACCTTTCCATTTTTCAAATGTGCATCTCTTAGCCAAGACTGTGTCATTCTTTGTAAGCATTTTGTTGTTCAAAACAAATCTTATACTGTGAACCTTTTTTTTTCCCCTCCCTTCGTATGTTGCCATTCAGCAGCCTCGTACTCAGAAGGAAGCAACCAGCATGTAAGATCCAGCTCAAAATAACAAGCGAGGGCAATCCTATTTGTAAGGAACAACCAACTCAGAAACAGGCACTGCCTGAAGTGAACTGAGAAAAGGGGTGTGGGGTGCCCAGTTTGCAGGGGCAACTGCACAATAATAAGGAAGTGTTCTCTTGCTTGTGCTCATAAACAATCCTCCAGCAGTGAACAAGTGCGTGCAGGCAGATATTGCTGAGAAATACCCCAATAACAACACAACTCCTCAGAAACAGCCCAGGCAAAACCATGGCAGTCAAGCAGAGAAATGGGTCTTGAGATATCGGAGGATGAGAAACATTTTAAATCATGAAGGACATGCTTAAAATGCTTTAAAGCACCATGAGAGCGCCAGGGTAATTATGAGAAACGGGATGGCTAACAAACAGGCAGCTTATGTATTCTGTATATTGCTGTGCACTGCACTCAAACATATCTTTCATGGCATTCTTGATGAGAAGCCAACAGAAATACCACTCTGATTAATCAGGAAACTACCCAGCAACAACACGAAAAGTTTGCACAAGACCAGCAAGCACACAACCTACTCCAAAAGATACCTGGGTGAGGAAAGGTGCTCCTTTCATCAATACAAAACCCCCCGAAGGCTCAATGCTTGTACAGATAATGAAGTCAAACATGTTTACACACCAGTGATCATTATGCACAGTGATTAGAGGAGATCTTAGGTTAATTTTCATCTCCACTAGCTAACACTGATGACCTGCTGCCCCACCTAACCTCTCTGCAGTGACAAGTCAGGTGCTTTCACCAGCCAACGAGCCTGTCTTGTTCCTGGGGAAAACAAAGACTTTTTAACATATATGATTAAAAAGGTCAATGAACCCCATGCACTCAAACTGGTAATAGGACCAGCTGAGCTAAAGCAAAAATTCCTTTTGCTGGAAGTAAATAGCACACTGTTATCTCCCCAGGGGCCAGGCAATAGCAGGAGGCATGTTCCCATTCACTCTGGCAGTGTGTGATATGCCAGTGCTCTGCCTATAAATACAACAGCACTTTTTCCCACCCCCTTTTTTAATGTTTTAACAAGGCTGTGACAGCTTCATCTCATCTGGGTACAACACACACGCCTGAGTTGTGGCTACACAGCAGAGCTTTGCATGTGCACATGGTGGTGGTTATTCCACCGCAGGACCACATGTTACCTACTGCATGGGGTGGCTGTGTCTCTACCAGAGCCTTAGGAGAAAAAAACAGGGCAGCATTCCATAGCAGCTGCATGGGCACAGAGTGCTTGGGGACATGCACATAAAGCAGCACCTGAACTGGAGACAGTGGGCTTTGTGCTGTCCTACAGGGATCTGGAATGAGAAAGAAGTTATGAGGGCACTGGTAGGGGTCCAGGGGAAAGTTCCTTTTACAGTTTGAGACAATGAATGAGACTATGACAAAGAGACAATACTGGACTCTGGATTGTGTCTTGGTACTATGACAACTATCTACGCTTTGTGCATTTAAAACTGACCTGGTCATTAATTCCTTACAGAATTGTGCAATGTGGACAAGGCCAAGTCTCTTGCATAAAGATGTTTTCTTTTGCAAGCCAAGTGGAAATATTTAGTGTTTACTATTCATGGAGAAATCTGCTTGTCCTATCTGTGACATCCCTCTCTGCACTGTCCACAAGACACCTCCCCAGTAACTAGGCTGTAAGAACAACTTTGCTGCATCAACCCAAAAGTTCACGTAATCCACTGCTCTATCTCTAGCAAGGGATAACAGTGGATGCTGAAGGAGGAACATACAAAGCAGCTCTTATATCCTCTGTCTATATCTTGTATCCTCAATAAGCAACATGGGCTTTCCTGAGTCAGGTTGCATCTGGACTATTGCATCTGCATCATGTACAGCTCTGTTTTCCAGGCATTTACCTAATGTCTTTTTGAACTCATTTGGATCTAATTCTCTCAGGGAGACCAAAGGTAAAGTTATGGTAACTGGAGCTATTTATGTTACAAAGGAGACATATACGAAGGGGGTTAAAGCTAATGAATGGCTTTGGGAGTGGATGGGACCTTTCTCAGAATAGAACAATAGTGTGCTTTTATGAAACTGGGAGACAGAAGACACAAAACTGTTAAAAAGAAAGAACACTTTTGTATTATTCGGCATTAGCCTTCAGAACTCATCGCCACAAGACAGTAGCCTGTCCTAGCTGCAGAGAGCCTGTCTAGGCTTTTAGGTGGTGATAGTTGGTCACAGTGGTTCCTACACAGCATACTGAATGCATGGTTGGAACTGAATTTCAACTCTTCCCTACTTATCAGGCTCAGAAAGAGGGAAACTGCTGTCAAGGGCCTTCCTTGGTGAAGCAGCAAGTTAACAGGCAGAGGAAACATCACACATCAGTGCTGACCATCTAGCTACATTCATGAATGTTGCTCCTTGCTAAACTTTGCTGTCCAGGACAGGAAAGAGCACGTGCTTTCTTACCTGGGTTGCTGCTGGCTGCCCGATGACCACCCATCCTGGACACTGCTGGTCACTGTGATGTGAGACGGAGACGTTGGAAGCCCACTGATCCAGAAAGCCTTTGGGAGTGTAAACACCACAGTCTTTGATGCTGGTCATTTGCTCAAATTCCTCACATACTCCATCACCGTCGTGGAAATAGCACCTGCTGGGTTCATCTGCCAGGAGGAAGAGAAATCACAAAGCACTGGTTACAGGTCTGCAATGTAGGAGCTACGACCTGATAACATCAGTGTCATGCATCTGCTGGACCAGGTCACTGGGAAGTGAAAGCACTCCTAGGCAATAGCAAGGTGATTTAAAAACAGCCAAGCAACAATAGTCAACTTTTATATTGGGCAATTCCCCCAAGACATTTCCTAATGTAAGGGGATTTCTGCTTATTTTCATCTATCTCCATTTAAAAGGATGGAGACAGAAGAAAGCAGAGACAGAAAATACAGAGAGACAATGTGGGTGTTGGCGTAATTCCACCAACTTGGATGGAAACATGCCAGCAGAGAGGCTGGTCTGCAACGTTTCCCTTTATGTTTCTAAAAGGTATCTGCAAAACAACAACAGCAGCAGCAGCACAACTGTGAATTTAGGGATGGTGAAAACTGCCAAGTTCACAGTTGTAGTGACCAAAGGGCCAAGCAGATCTGTTTATCCACAGAGCAGATACAGTATACAATGCGCGAGGGTAAGCTTGCCACATACACACACGGTTTCAACCAACATGACTCAGATTTGACCTGAAAGGATCAAAAGCAGCAGGAAACTTTATTATCCTCGTCCATTTATTCTGTGGCTTCTCTAATGAGACTGCCAACAAAGATGCCAAATTTTTGAGGTTGTTTCTGTAACACTGGCCCATTAAAACCTGAACTGAGATCCATCTACTCTTTTCAAACAGACTGCGTAGCAATAATGACTTTCAGTCATTAGAGTACTCTCTGAAATGGAAACCTTTGACCTGTCGGTATCCTATTTTGTATTGTATTATCATTGCCAGTCCCCAGACGTATCCAGTTCTGACAGCCTGTTGTATTTTTGTCTGGCAAATAAGCCTGCTGAAAAAAAACCTGGTAGGAAATTAGCCAGAGCTGCTAGCTGGACTGATGGAAGCGATCCCTAAGGAGAGTCCTGCCGGTAGCATTGGACTATCTCGAGCTAGGTGTCAGAAAATCCAGCGGCTGCTCAATTTTGAGCTACTTCCAAACTACTAAATCCCCTGTTTATTTTTCCTCCTAGTTTACACAGTGAAATACCATCATGAGCCAGAAAAAACCAGTTTATTGCAATTCAATTATTTAATGACTTTCACTCCTTTTCCCCTCCCTTCCTCCCAATCCCCTGTGCAAAATTCCAGGTCCTTCTGAGAGTGTGAGTTTGAAAGAATGGCGAAGGCAGTCAGGGAAGAATGTCATTATGGTTTCATTTCATGACCTCTGCGGACAACTCGCATACATGGGTAAGTGCTGGGAACTCTGTATTTGCTGGGCCAGTGCTGTGAGCTGGTGAAAAGGAGCCAGCACGAATCTGGAAGCTGTTCAGCTGTGTGAGTGCAGCCCTGTGCTTGAGCTGGGGTGGCCAAACTTCTTGACCCTACATGTCACATCTTAAAATCTTCATATGGCTGGGAGCCACCAAGCATATACCACACACCTCGAATGGCTGCTAGGAGGAGACTTGGGAGAGTGCTTCACAGGGAAGAGATGACAATGGCTCGCCAGGGTGTCCCATTGCTCCACGGTGGGAAGGGGCTCAGTGGATGCGCAGATGGGCCCTAAGGCAACTCAGCACTGCTGGCCCCACCAGCCACTGCCTTGCCTTTCCCAGGGCCAATTGCCCAACAGCCCTGATGCCAGCAGGGCCCTGCTGCTCCTCATCTGATATGGACCCAGCTGAGAATGTGAGCTTGAACTGATCATGAACCATACGTGCCCTAAGAATCCCAGTTTGAACATCCCTGTGACAAACCTTGTTTCTCTGTAGGGCTGGCGCAGCGCTACACAAGTGTGCCTCATTCACATTGTGATGGCCATGGAGACAAATCCATGGTTCCCTCACCTTGTCCTTCTGCACCTCTTGTTCTGCTCTTCTCTCTGCAGAGCAATATCAAAGCATATGCCAGGTCTGTGCTGTACCCAAGAACAGCAGGATAAAGCTAAGCAGCTTGCCCGCCTTGGAGCACTATGTCCCAGTTTGAGTGAGAGTCTCAGCAGAAATCTCTGAGAAATATTCAGCTCTGGAAAGATTGTGGTCAGCAAACAAAAATCCTCAAAAACAAATCCCAAACATATGAAAACATGTATTTTTTGGAAAAAAGGTTTCTTTTTTCTTGGTCATTTTAGGAAAAGAGGCTTATTTCTGTAAAAAGGAAAAAAAAAAGAAGAAAGGAAAACACCCACCCTGTTAAAAAGACCCAACCTTCAGCCTGTTGACATATGCACAGTCAGATATACACTTACAGTGAAACACCAGCGCTCAAGAGCACCCTGCTACACACCCACACTGACAGAAGCACTGACACACAAACACATGGACGGTCTCTTTACACATCCCCAGAGCAGACACCCCACTGATGCAAACACATCCCCAGAAACTCACAGCCTCATTTTAGGCATTTAGACAGTGTTTCCCCGGCCTTCCTGAAGCACTGACTTCTTTTCATGACAGGCACTGAAGCAAGCACAACATTTATATAGCAACATACTCCTGCACTGGCTCCAAATGTTCCCTCCTAATGGGATGATAAACATAATGGGCTTCTGATAAGATCATGTGTTTGGGTTAAAAGAATACTCAAGACCTACTCCAACCCAATGACTTAATTCATACTCACATGGATGGGAAGGCAGCCTTTGAATAGCTGTGATCCAGGCCAGTGTATGATCCTAACAGAAGCTAATTTGTTCCTGATTATGCTTAAGACCCCAATAAATCTGTCTGCTTGGAGTCTGCAAAACCCGAGGGAGGAACCGAATGGAGAGACTGGGATGTCTGAATTAAATGGAGACTTCCTCAATGATTAACCAAGTCTTACTGAACTGCACTGCCATGAGCCCTTCCACTGTGCTGGTCCTGGAGAATGGCTGCACCCTGTTCTCCATCACAGCGTGGGCTGGATGACACAAAAGCTGAGAGATCAGGTACCCGCTTGCTTTTCCGTACTTTGAAAAATGATGGGGAAAGTGGCTTTACAACCCTAATTTTCTTGTAAGGAAAGAAAAAGAAAGGGAAGAAATAGTAAGTCCTACTATTGACATGCCATCCTGAAGCATGCAATGTCATGCTTTGAGGGGAGTGTTGGTGAGAAGAGCAGAAGGCCTGCCCATGAGGTTCTACTTCTGAGTGACAGCAAAGAGGGGTCTTCTTTAAATCATGAGAGCACTGATGAAGGCATCATCCTACGACAGCCCAAGGTGGTGCATCACTGGGTGGGCTGCCAAAAAGCAGAAGCTCTTCCTTCCACAGGTACTGAGCACCACCTCCGACTCCTGATTCTTACTGTGGTCTTGGATGATTGGTAGGTTACGTTTTGGGCTTTACATTTTCATGAGTGAAGTGAAGAACGACCAGATTGTTTCTTCCTACGATTGCCCTCACAAAATAAAAGCTAACAGGCTTCTTCCCTTTCCACAGTGGTGTGAAGACAGCTCAGTTAAATCCGCAGAGTCCTACAGGCTCAAAGCCAGGGAGGGCAGTGTCAGGAGTGGTGTTTTTCTAGGAAGCAGTAGCTAACATCTTTATTTCAATCACGGCGCAAAATGCCTTTTATGTTCTCGATTACTGTGACATGAAATTCACCCAGGGCCTGGGTCATATGAGCTATTTTTTGCCTCCACAGAGACCTACAGGCTCCCAAGACCTTTTGAAGGTCACAGTGCTCTACTGGTCACACATGGCCTGCATCATGGACTTGGTTCATCAACACCGTGGACTTCTCACTTCAAAGTTGGATCTGATTTGAAGGAGATATGGAAGAAGGGAACATGAAGGAAATCTGATTTGTCCTCAAGGAAAAAAATGACTTCAAAAAATTACAAAGCAGTTGCCTGGAAATCCAGCTGAAACCTAGAACAGCAAAATGTCTGCAGGCACAACACCTGGCAAGAGACAGCACCTCTGGGATTGACAACAGATGCTGAAGGATCCTGAGCTGAACTCGGGGAACATGTATTCATTCAAGCAGTCTGCACTCCTTTTCCCTGACAACGTTCTTACTGAAGGCACGAAAATGTTGGGGCCAAACCAAAGTTGCTCTTGCTTGGGAAAAAGGCATTCTCCAGTTCAGCAACATCTGGGAATCCCTGAATGCTCCATGGCAGACACCAACCCACAGAGGGGGATTTGTTGGGAAGACAGACTAGCAAGACCTGGCCTGCTCACTACTGCATTGGGCTGCAAGATTCAGAAAGATCTTAGGGCTCATGTGTGTTGTGTGAAGTCCATTTCTCCTTACTTTTTCAGCTGCATGAGCACAGTGCAGAAGGCAGATTTTGGACTGAAATACAAGCCCCTCATGTGGGGTTTGGAGATAAAAGGATGCACAAGGTAAAGCAGAGAGTTTAGGTAGTGCTTGGAGGCACCTGCCAGCCCAGGTCTGGATGAGCAGGTATCTCCCCATCACAGTTACCTGTTTGAAGAGAGGCTGGAAAATCAGCAGTGAAACAAATGAAGTCTGGTACAGATGAGGAAGCAGATTTGCAGGATACACACTTATCTGTCATAGGCAGCCTTCCACCTCATTAAAAAGAAAAAAAAGAGATCAAGGGATCCAATTCATAGCACAAGTCACATCCTCCTTGAGGCTTTTTATGTCCAAGCCGCACAGTCAAAGTGCTGGGGACAGACACTCGGGGCAGCTTCCTGTTTTCAGCTGGAACGCAGTGATTGGCATCAGCATAGTCTTCTTTTGTGAAATAACTACTATTTTTTCTAAAGGCCAGACAAAAAAAAGGAGTATTTTTAAGCTCAGCTGTTTACTTGGGGATGTTTCCAACTCTAACAAGCCTCATGCCACGTAACCATTTGTCCGAAAGAGGAAAAAAAAAGGGGGAAAGAGGGGTACAAAAATGCAGAAGCATTGTCTCAGAGTAACAAGTTCTTGGAACAGAGCAAGCTTAATTTTAACCCCTGGAAAGTCTGTCCAAAGGTGTCCAGCTCTTTTCAG